AACAAAAAAGACAAATACGGATTTTGTGACTATTTAAGCAGAGACGAAGAACGAGAACTGCATCTCCCAGAATGCTTTGTTAAACAAAATGGCGTCGCTGAACATTGCACACTGAACGTACATATGCTACTCGTTTTYACAGAGGAATCTAGTTACCTGTGCCTCACGAAAGATGTATGGATGCACGGTTATCCTTCCTGTAAGCCTTTCGAGTAGTTTTTCTGCCATCTCTATTGGAATGTCGATTTGAAGTTCTGGAGCAATGGCCGAGTTTAGGAAACAATCTGTGATTGCTTGTACTTTACGACGAATAAAACTTTCTTGCGAATGCGAATGACATAAATCCTGTCCATTAAAAAAAACATTTGGTTACTTTAGACTTTTACTACGTACTAATGTACTCTACAATGCTATTATCAGAGCATCTTTGCTTCTATATTTGTTAATAAATAGGAAAGGCAACAGACTCAGGGTTTTTAGTACCTTAAACTTTTGAACTTCCAGCCAAAAGTCCACGTCGTTCTCAAACGTATCTCCTTTGAGGGCCACAAACGTCCTAAACTCTGCGCATGTCTGAGGGTTRAGTAGGCACGTACGAAGGGCCACGACGTCACGAGAAGACGAAACCCAGCGACTGTTTAATATCTGAGAAACACGAAACAGTATCGATTAGTCTCTAGTATGCATGTATATGGCTACCTAGTCAAAGGGGAAAAAACGCAAAGCGCACGCTGGACACATTTTGCGGGAAACCTGTAAACAACAATTTAAGGTTTTAAACATTTTAGTGTTTTTTTTTTCTCTAAATGTTTCTGGAATTCTGGAATGAGTTTTCATTGCTGTAAAGAGTTTTTACCATGATTTTGTTAGGTTTTGGAGGAAGAAACAAAGACATGTATCTCTCTAGCAATGAAATCGACTGAGTTCATGGCAATTTTTTGAAATGGTGTTTTCTATGAAAAAAATAATCGAGTTACCTTCCAGGCCGCTTCACTTCTTTGTAAACGTCTCTTTAACATTACATCTTCAACTATTTCCGGTGCCGTGACACGTGGTTTTTGTCGTTCCAAGAATTCAGCRGTTTGCTTGAAGAGCATTAACCATCGTCTTTCAATGCGCGCGCGCACAAATTTTTGACATTCTGTGATRACCGGTGTGGAAGGACGYTCTTTGATAGTACGRCCACCATTTATATTCATTATCTAAAAATAAAACCATGTAGTAATTAACTTTCCATAAAKTTTTAATAACGCGAGAATTCAGTGAATTGTCTATAGGTTTAGTCCGTCTCTTTCTCTAAGTATATTCAAAACATACACAGTTTTAGTACTTTTTTTAACTTAAAGTCATATAGAAACAAACACTAAAAAGTTGTTTGACATAAATATCACTGAATGCYGCTAAATGTTAATGTTTTCTATTGTT